AAAGAGCCTACCATCGGTGTTGGATTTTCGGCGTACGTGTTCAACGTTCATCACCCCGCTCCGCAAACAGGCTATAAGCACTGTTATGTAAGCAGTGGACGTCCATGTGGTTATCAATTTTCTCCGTCCTTTATTGTGTTGATCATGATCAGGACACACTTGGCGACCTCACAAACGAGTTTGTGTGATATCGCTATCAACTGCAGTGACAGCACCAGGCCGTTCTTCGTAAAATTCGCTCTGGGACGTGGGGAAGTTTGCGCCATACTGTACTGTGACACTCTGACCCGGGCAAGTGGACAATGTATCCGGCCGAAGCATATGCTTAGTCCCCCCCGCCAACCTCGTGATAATCATATGCTGGAACAGCTAATACTATAAATGCGAGGATCAGAGCCAGCCAAATCCCCAGCCCGGTGCTCATAAACAACCCAGCTCTGGCAGGTGAACCATTCTCTTTTCGTTCTCTGACAAGTCCTCTGACCAGAGTCTCTATTCCAGCTCGACAACGTTCTTCTCAACCTCAACATTCAACGTTCATTCTCTCATCCTCTCATAATCAACATGCGCTTCACAGCTGTTCTCGCAGGTCTCTTGGCCGTTACCGCCAGCTCAGCAATGGCCGCTCCTCATCGCAGACTTGAGGCACGTGTATACGATGAATCCGCGATCATGGCTCGTGATCGCGAGCTCGCTGTTCGAGACGTCATGCAAGCCATCCACACTCGCGAATTCGGTCGCCGCGATGCCGTGTGAGTGCATACTCATCGATTTGCGAACCAAAACAATGCTCACACTTACATCAGCGGCACGGCCAATATCCTCAACAAACGCAAAATGGCTGTTCCTCCAAGACCTGATACCCCCCCACCCGCCGCTGATATACCAGAAGAAGCCCCGGCGCGTGGCGGACTCCGCCGAACCAATCGATTCACAAACCTCGCCGAAGCCGGACGGGGTGGCGATGGTGGTGAACAGCAGGCTGATCATACATCTGTCGCTGAAGGAAGGCCTGAGACTCCTCCTGCAGGTGGTGAGAGGCCTAGAACACCTATTGCAGGTGGTGGAACGTCTGAGCAGCCGTCTACAGGTGGCGCCACGCCTGGGACTCCTCCTGCAGGTGGTCATGCCGCCCCTGCAACGCAGTAGCCGTAGGCGGTCGAGACAGCGGTACCAGTAGCTGTCAATGGCTGCCATTGATACATATATGCGCTATACACGTTCGTATGCACTAGTACCCGCCGCGAGGTGTAGAGAAGTAACTACTAATTCCTATAGCCTAGTAGCAATACGTTCAAGTTACTGTTGTCTGCAGGCTGAGGCTGGCTGCACCGTTTACCACTTGTGGTATCGCACATGCAAGGACATGGCCGAGCCCGTCATATAATAACACTCGTGACTGTACATGTAACTTCAGAATACTGCACTGGCAAGACGCGTTCTGAATGTATTCGACTCTGAACAAGGAAATCGAGCTCAGGCGGCCCTTCCGTTGTAGTGATATCTGCTACAGCGCTCCGAGTCATTGACAGCCGCGAGGCTGCCCTCGGGTCCAGGACACTAGTCGCCTTCGATGTCAACCAAGTTCGTCTCTGCCAGTGCCACTGGAGTAACCTTGAACTCGTTACGGCGGTCTGAACTTGAATAAGCACGTCAAAAGGCTCTGAAAAGGCCGGTGCATGACGATACCATCAAGAAGATATACGTCGACATGATGATACAATCGATCCTTAGCGGCATCGAGGAACGAAATCCTCGAGAATAGAAATCCAACGTTCAACGTTGTGGCGTTGAAATGGAGTTCCTGCCAGGACGACGTCATCACTGGCCTCGAGTATTCCAGTGACATATGCATTCTGATGTGACCCGACGATTCGGAGACTTCACTGGGATTCGGAGCATATGCATATGTTTGGATCCGCACATATAATCTACGGCTTGTGATGCAGATAGATACCCTGCCGAGGCCAGAATATAATGATTTCATACCATCTAAGGGTCACATTTGCAGATTTGTGGCTGATTGTCTACGTGACCTGCGCATCATACAATCCATGGCTTTCCATACCTATCGTGCAAACTCACAAAAAAATCGACATCCGCGGTGCTCACCAGCGGATCTACCATCTTGTGGAACTCTACCGTAGTCTCTGGGTGAGGCCCGAGTAGCACAGCGACGTATGAGATCCTCCGCACGCCTAACGAGATAAGCCATTTAATCCCCAATGTCGACACAATGAAGCTCCGATCATCCGAAGCGTAGAAAGCTTCAAAGATGATCGCCGATTCCATCGGTCGTGTGTGAGCGTCGCCTTCGCCTTCATTGCAAGTTCTGGTGTTGAATGCGATGAAGTCGTACGGCGCTTCATATTTAGAACGAGGAGGGATGAAGCCAGTCTTAAGGTTGTGTTTCCCGTAGATAGAAGACGTGACTTCAGATGCATCGGGGGTGAAGTGGACGGAGACAGGAGTCGGTGGGATCTCCTCCGATTCAGACGGTGGTACTTCGCTCGGGTGCGCGAGCCACCGATAGTACGCTTTCGAATTCGACGGAGTGAGCGGAGTGAGAGGTAACGCACTCGGAGGACGCGTGTTCAATGGAGTGATTGGGGTCATAGGTTGGAACTTCCACGACGGACCAGGGTACGGCGTCGTAGGCTCAACAGGCGAGGCGTGCGCGGGGACTGCTGCGACAGTCTTGTCCTTCGTGATGTGGATGTGAGACTCAGCGGCATATCCGACCCGCAGCCATGCGTCAGGGTTCTGCCATTGCTGGAAGAAAGATTGTGTTGGCACCATGAACGTCCACGACGATGGGGGGCGCGGTTTGTCCCTAAGGCCAGCGGGAACGGGTTTGAGGTTGGATAGAGTGAAGGTGCCTCCACGCGTGAAGTACTTCCGGATGACAGACTCTAGGACGAACTCCGCTGGAGCGTGAAAATCGTCGACTAAGGTGCGGACGCTCTGGCTGCCTTCAGTTTCGAGAACTTTGCAGGCATAACGATTGGAGGCGACAACTTGGGGGACATCTCGCCTCATCTCCGGTTGAATGACAAGGAGCGTACGTATGTCGGGGTCCACGTCGTTTCGCTTCATGCCACGCACTGCGTTAGCGAGAGCATCCTCTGCCCGCAGCTGAGCTGCACAGTCTAACGCGGTCCGGTGGAAGTGGGGGACAGAGACTCCGGTGAAAACTGGACGAGGGGACGGTCCGAAAAGGTCGAAGTTCGTCGCGATCTTGACTTCAGTCAAATCTCGGGCCGATCCGAGGTGTAGATCCCTCCTACACGATACCAGAGTCAGTACTGGGCAGAAGAACAATCGGATAATAAGTTTGAACGGCATACGCAGCAATTAATTCTGGAAGAGACCACGGCTTGATGAAGTACTTCGTGGTGATCCGGTTCGTTCGCAACATCCAATCAAAGGAGCCGGAGCTGGAACAGGTGGCTTGGACAATGAAGAGGTTGAGATGTAAGAGATAATCCGGAACTTGGGGGAGTGAAGGACTGCAGTCGACAAGACACCAAGCGGAGGGCGGGATATGCGCAGAGAGCTCTCTGGCGAGACCGTTAGTCACGTCGTACACCTGGAAAACCCCTTCTTCGTTGAAGATAAATATACGAGATGACTCGTCTGCATAGATCGTGGTCCGCCGACAAAGCAGACGAGTCAACAGCGTATATTGAAGGAGTAGAGATTTCCCTGTGGACGGGTTATAAGTCGATGGGATAGCTTTGAGGCTAAGATAACGTACCAGTGCCAGGATGACCAACCACGGACACCCCTCCTGCTCTTTCCTCGCTACCGGCGGTATCCCCAATAGTGCTCCAATGTTGAGCGTACATCAGAGGGAGCTGATCGTCCGACTCGTCAGACGTAAAGAAATGGTGCTCGAGGACTTCTCTGGGATGCTTGCTAAATTCGTTGATCAGGTCTACGCCATCGACGTATTCTTGGCGTACAAGGACGCGCGACAAGTTATGCATAGACGCCATGTCGAAACCTTCAAAGGTTAGACACTGGCTCGGTACGCAACATACCGCATCGTCAAGTCGCTGTGGCGATTGTGCATCTCGGCTGACGTGATGCAACTGGAAGATACTGTGGAAGTCTAATTCTTGTTGGCCCCATGTTCGTTCTCGGAATTTGGCCAACGTTTCGTGCTCCTCGAGCTTCCTCATATGGTGGGCGAGTAGCGACATCTTCTTTCCGAGCTCGGACTACACCTCGGCACTAATGGATGCATCGAAACGTTCATCTCCGTTGGCATGATTCAGGGCAGATGCTGCTCACCAAGATCGAGAAGGACCAGTTGGAGCGTACGAACGAGGGATGCAAAGGCAAGAGGCGAACTGTCATGTTCGAGTTCTCATGGCTCCTAAAGAGGGGAGACGAACAAACCCAAATCCGAACAAGCGCTGCTGCTTGCTCACATGTCATCTGAAGCTACGCCCCAGGCCTGTTCGTGTGATCGAAAACGGCATATTGGGGTTTATCTTCACCATATCGCGCGGGGTTCTGCTCTGGAAATCCAGAAGGAGCAAACTGCAATCCGCTTGACCGAGAGTGAGCACAAAAAAAACGCCAACAGGACAGACACGCACTTGCAGGCGCAGTGTCATCACTGCGCGAGATGCAACGTTTTCTTCTTTGCGGCCAATTGCGTGCATTCCGCGGCTGTTGAGGAAAGAACGGCGTCGGATCGATGAGGCTTTGGGTAACCAGATAACGATAGCATGATGGGAAGACGACTTTGATGGACCACCGTGTGTGCAAATTCAATTGACATGTATCGTGGCCAGTTGACTGGAAGACAACCGCGGTGAGAACAGAACTCAAGATGCTGGTAAATAATTCTGATTTGCGATCCACTTGCACTAACAAATAAAGCCCGTAAACGTCTCCGGTTCATCAGCATGGAAAGCTGCGAGAACGCTGACAGCACGTCTTCGGCGTGTCATTGTAGAAAAAGGAAAATACTTCTGAGTCCTCAGATATAGCAGCTCTTAGTTTCGATCTAAGGACCTCGGGGTTATGGGCCCCGCGCGCTACCGCTGCGCCAAGCTGCTATGATTGGTTGTGCGCCCCGGAGCGTAACAAATGACCCGCGAGGAGCACCGCACAACTCGCTGTGATCAATAGGAAGGGAGGTATCTATGAACAGAACGCCTTGTCTGAGAGTAAAATACAGCCTGTCCGAGATAATTCAGATCAGCCAGTCTGCCATAGCATTGAATGACGAGAGAAGCTCACATTGGGATTGATTGCTTAGGCGTAGCGAAGTGGTACCATGCAATAGCATCCTTACGGTATCTCGATACCATTCACCTTCACCGTAATCCTATATGGGAAAGGAGAGATTCCTTGAGCGACAGTGATCAGAGGAACTGCCGCTCTCCCAGTTTCAGAGGACGTATGAGTGAGCATCGTCTTCAAGCTCTTCGTTAAGGCCGTCGCCAGGTCCGCATTAAATTTCTGTCGATCTGACGATAACGGTGAGCGAACGACTGCCGAAGTAGAACTTCTTACATACCTCTTTCTGTCGTGGGTTGTCGGATTTCTGCGTTGATCATCCTGGAAGAAACATAGGTATGGTTTGGTCAACAGCATCACTGCATGAGTACTCACCACTCCTCCCATGGTACTTCTTCCTGTACGAGATGCAGAACCTCTGAGCAAACGCGTGTAATCAGCATGAGCTAGATCACATACCTCTCCAACCAGAAACCATGATTTCTTCGGTTTCTTCTCTGAGAAAGTAACAATGATCTGGACGAGATAATATCAGATTGACCCGAAGACTCAGCGGCGGACGTGAACAGACCTGGCCCCGTTTGTTGACGCCTCCTTCAATCCCCTTCCAGAATGTGTCTACCCGCTGGTCGACCAGTTGCTCTGTTGCTTCGTCATCGACGGCAGGCTAGACGGCACGCGCATGTCAGGAAACATTGCTGCATATCTGAATGTATGCGCACCATGGTCACATCGAGAACCTCGAAAGTCTTGGCCTTCACTGTCCCAAAGAGTCGGTGGAAGAGGATGGAATGTAGCACCGCCCGCAGCACATCTTTCGCAGTATGACGATCAAGAACCTAGCTATCCACACTTCAGCCTCGGACAACATAGCTTCAGAATACGACTCACAAGGTCTAAGGTGATCACTGGATGCGTCGTGCTCATGGTCGGAGAGGAGTCTGGAAAGACCCTAACCTCAGGCGAGGTGCGCTCGCATAACCGAATGGCGCCCTGAATAAGCAAGTCGTTCTCACGCATACAACGCGTCCATATCTCGTTCTTACCGTTGCTCGATCCTCCAGATCTCCCTCTCCTTCTTCTTCCTCCATTATCCCTCCATCTCTGTTCCAAAATGCAGGCAGGAGGACAGACACCCGTGTTTGTTATGAGTCAGTGCCCGCTTTTCTCCGCTTTCAATCATTTTCTGAGCGTTCTGCACTAGACACTGCGCCGGAGAGGCAGTCTGGCCGAAAAGCGCAGATCTCAAATATCACTGCAGCAAAGGTATATAGTCACTCAAGAGTACTCATTATGACGCTCATGGAGTTTGTTCTCTCGCCGTATCACAGACAGTCGCGGATGTCATCCGAACATGTCTCGGCCCAAAGGCCATGCTCAAGATGATCTTGGATCCAATGGGCGGCATCCTGTACGCGTACCTCCTCTTGCAAAGATCGCGTGTCACTCACAACGTGTTTCTCAGATTAACTAACGACGGAAATGCCATCTTGCGAGAAATTGACGTCGCGCACCCAGCGGCGAAAAACATGATTGAGCTGAGCCGAACGCAGGATGAAGAGTGTGGAGATGGTACGACGAGTGTGATCATTCTAGGTGAGTACCCCATCCATCTCAACTGGGAACCGTTGAATACTCATGTACTCGACCTGTAGCTGGTGAAATCCTCGCACAATCACTGTCACAACTTGAGCGTGATATTCATCCTGTCGTCATCATCTCTGCGTACAACAAGGCGTTGAAGGAGGCTCTCGAGATCATCAAGCGCATCTCCATTCCAATAGACACCAAGAACGATGATGAAATGCTGTCTCTCATCAAGACCTCTATTGGCACCAAGTTTGTCATGCGATGGTCCGACCTCATGTGCAAGCTTGCGCTCCAAGCAGTCCGGACCGTCGCGAGCGATGACAGCGGGATTCAAACCGTCGACATCAAGCGTTACGCGCGCGTGGAGAAGGTCCCGGGAGGCGAGATCGAGCAGAGCCGCGTATTGGACGGAGTCATGGTCAACAAGGACATCACACATCCCAAAATGAGGCGGAGGATTGCGAACCCCAGAGTTATCCTGCTGGATTGCCCGCTCGAGTACAAGAAGGGCGAGTCTCAGACCAACATCGAAATCTCGAAGGAGGCAGATTGGTCTCGGATACAGGAGATCGAGGAGGAGCAAGTGAAGGCGATGGTCGACAAGTTGCTGGAGTTTAAGCCAGATCTCGTCATTACGGAGAAGGGTGTCTCTGGTGCGTAAAGCTGCGTTTTGGCTCGGGATGTCGTATTGACTACTATTGTGCGTGCAGACTATGCACAACACTTCTTGTTCAAAGCCAACGTTTCTGCGATCCGTCGGGTCCGCAAATCTGACAACAACCGTATCGCTCGGGCGGTTGGTGCCACCATCGTGAACAGGATTGAAGACCTCCGAGAGTCCGATGTCGGAACGCTGTGCGGTCTCTTCAACATTGAGAAGATCGGCGATGAGTACGTCTACTTCTACTCTTTTAGAACTCCAATCTGAGCCAATCTCGTGTTCCAGGTACTTCACCTTCCTCACAGAATGTAAGACACCAAAAGCATGCACAATCCTCCTTCGTGGTCCCTCAAAAGACATTCTCAACGAGATCGACCGGAACCTCGCCGATGCCATGTCCGTCGCGCGCAACGTCTTCTTCAACCCGACACTGGCACCTGGCGGCGGTGCGACCGAGATGGCGATCAGCGTCGGACTGCACGCGAAAGCAAGGACGATCACTGGTGTGGAGGGATGGCCGTTCAGAGCTGTCGCGGATGCTATGGAGGTCATTCCTCGAACGCTTGTTCAGAACAGTGGCGGTAACGCTATGCGTGTGTTGACGGAGCTCCGGGTGAGTGGCTACTGGACTCCTTACGTGATAAGAAAAAGCTAATCAATCAATTTTGTGTCTACGTAGGCGAAACATGCTAATGGTGAGCACTCCTGGGGTATCAACGGAGAGACGGGCAAGATCGTGGACATGAAGGAGTACGGACTATACGAATCTGCCAGCGTCAAAGTAAGCGTCCGATTCGCCAACACTTTCTGCCCGCTATCTCACACTTCCGCCTCACTTCTTCAGATTCAAATTCTTAAGACCGCTATTGAAGCCTCCCGCGTTCTCCTCCGCGTAGACGACGTCGTCCAGGCGACGCGCAGAGATCGTGAGCAGGGCGGCGGAGGCGGAGGCGCACCTCCTCCCGAAGAGATGATGGAAGGTTGATGGTCTTGCAGTAGGTAGAAGTGCTCGATATTCAAGCTGTACGAAGAAGCCTTTACAACCAAAATACGACGTCTTGAGCCGGCGGTGTAAGTCTTCCAGGTTCAAATGCCAACCTCATAGAGCGGTGTGCAATATTAAGCTGATTGGAGCAGTCTCAATCAAGTCTCAATCGGCGTTTTCCTTGATCATCCAGCGGTCCTTGCGGCATCTATTCGGATGCCGTTCTTCCAACATCCATTGGATCCCTTTTGCTTCTATCACGAACTGAGACCAATGGTGCAGTTCGGGCCGTGTATTACGAGCGCAGAATCAATCGTGCTTTGTGAATCGTCACCAAGTCGATCATGGTATCGTCGATGTCGCCGGTGTCCCCTTTACATTCTGTTCGCATCTTCCTTGTGAAGAATACCTGATCATTGACAGGCAGGTTCGATCACCACTCGCCCTTCGAGATGATCTTTGACTCGTGAGGTTGATTTCCGCAAATGTTCCGTACCACGTACTGACAAAGCGCAGTTTCTTTTCTGTAGCGGCATGTGAGCTATGCCCAGCATCATCGACCCCACTCGCAAACCAAGTCCTGGTCTCGTTTCCAGGAATCTCGGAGACAGGAAATCTTCAACATCTCAGAATCGTGCGACCATGGTGTTATCATCAAACGGTTATACCTTGGCTCTCGCAAGCGGATGAGTGCATGCCACTCGGTCCTGGCTCGGCCTCAGTCAGCTGAACCTCTGACGTTTCGATGCTCTGACCGCCGTCGGCGCACTCATAGAAGATCTGAGGAAGAAAGCACGCATAATTCACCACGCAACACGACTCGGTAAAGGTGACTACTCATGTGTATGTTATTTCGCGCCTCTAAGCAAACTCTAGGCTCACTTGCAAGAACTTAGAAGGCTCTGGGGTTCTGGCGTTGGTTGTGCGTCGCCGATTCCAAGTGATCCGGTGACCGCCTATCGTGATGCGATTTAGCAAGCAGATGAACGTCTTTGAACGTTCATACCCGTTACTCAGTATAGCTGCATGCGTAACGGGGTACATCAACAGGAGTATCAAGCTGTGCCCTGTCATCAGATGATTGGGACTGCGCGAGGATGCCAAGACAGAATGACGAAAGGACAGTCTATCCGCTGAAAGTGCATCTTCCCAAAGATATAAAACGGCCTCCAGAATACACCAACCTCTCAACCAAAATCGGTGCTCACGATAGGCTCTGGCAGGTGGGATACTCGACTTCTGCTCTACTCACTTTTCTGACCAGGGTTTCTGTTGCAGCCCGACAGCACTTTTTACGACCTCATCACGTTCATCCGCCTCAGCCTCTCCTCATTACCATGCATTTTACCGCCGTTCTCATTGGTGGCCTCCTCGCCATCGCCTCCAGCTCAGCTGTGGCCGTCCCGCAACGTAGTCATGAAGTGCGTATGTAATGGTGACTCGGGATCACAATCTCGTCGTACGGGACGTCCTTCAAGCCATCTATGCACGCGAGCGTGCTCGTTTAGATGATCGTGAACTGTGAGCCTGTATGCGTTTTGCAGATGGAACTGATGCTCATAACACCATCTGCTCATTCA